AAGATTATCTTTTCTATTGACGAAACCTCCTGGGGCTCCCACCTTGTTGCAGCAAGCTAGAAAGCACACAGCAACAGATTTAAACTGCAGAACTCAATTTCAGACTTCAAAACTTTTGCGGCACAAATGTCAGTTTGAAAAATGGCCACGTGAGTTGAACGTGACAGGATTAGCAATTTTAATGATTAAAAACTCAGAAGACACGTGCTGCTGCTGTGGGAACGCTGATTATCTGGGGAGAATAGAGCTTGTGGGCAGCCCTGGACTGGCCAGGAGCCCAGAAAGGCCATCTCAGTCACACAGGGATGGCACCACGGGAAAGCTCTGGCCTCTCCCAGAAACAGCCTGAGCAGCGTCTGCGCCATCAGCTCCCGTCCTGCCACCTACCGGGGCATCTCCAGGCAGCACAGGCACACAAGCACCCCCGCCGAAAGCTGCGCAGCTGCAGGGCGAGTGTGAAATCTGGGAGGGGATTTTTTTTTGTGTGTGTCTGCCCTACATGCACACTCAGGCCCTTCACTGGTGCCTGCAATGCCCGTGTCTGTCCTTGCACTCACCGATCCCAACCCTGAGCCCATCTTGATGGGGCCCCTGCCTTGTCTCCATGGGCCGGGCCCTGGGTGCTCGGCTGAGCCTGGCCATGGTGCCTGCACCCGCTCTGCTCACCTGGCATGGGATAACATCCAACCGAGAATCACTGGTCATGGGGAATAGGGTTGGGAAGGACCTGCAGCCAGCCTGTCACAGGGCAGCATCCCAAGAGGCTACATCCTCAGGCAGCATCCTTGCATTACAGTTCTTATCTCAGCAGCTTCAGCCCTGTTTTTCCTGAAAAACAGCAGCGACTCCCTCATATGTCCCCCACTGGCAGGGCTCTAGGTGAGCCAGCTAATGAATAGAAGGTCACAGAAACAGTGGGCTTTGGGGTTTGGTTTCTGTTTTTTTGCGACCCAGCGACCCCTCTGCCTGCCTGAAGAAGAGCAGTCAGCTCTCCTTAAGTAAGAGCTGTGGGTGTGAA